GAGGAAGAAAGAGAGAGAAGGTATATAATTGTTATTCTCGTAAAGTTAGCTAATTGACCTAACTGAATTTTCATTAACTAGAGAGTTAACTAAATAAATTTAATTTAACCGCGCGCTGGTTAACTAATTTTGCATGGCGATGTTTCTTATGCATTACATTGCTAATTTACATTGTTATAATGTAGACGAAATAATCGTAAATCGTAGTTAGCAATCTTGATTAAATTTTGGTTAGGGATTATCCTATTGTCCTTTTCTATATAGATTATAGCAATAGCTGTAATATCGACAAACAAAGAAAATGATTGTTAATTTAGTTAACACACTTAATTAAATTTTTTTGGACAGCGATACCGATCCTTTTTCCTATATTATGATTGTAGTTATAATAGCGAAAAGGAGAGAGAGATATATATATATATATAGAAAAACGATTTTATTAACTGTAAGTTTTTAATTAGCACACTTTCTCTCTCTGTCACACACATATATACAGTTAATTTTAATTTTGATTATACGTCCTCAACCGAAATTAATTTCATTCATTTCATTCTTCATCTCTATATATATATTTTGAGAAGCAAAATTATAAAGATTTAAAAAAAAAATTAAACGTCTCTTGAACATTTTACAAATATCATTCAAGTTAATCATATATTTTCAACACCACTCGGTGTCGGTACAACCGGCCTCGAAAATCGGAAAAAGGGACGACGGAAAGGCGAACACTTGCGCGTTTGCTGCGGATACTCGTAATATCGTTTTTGTTCGCCCAGGTATAAGGTATTCATGCGTGCACGATAAGACGAATAGAATTTCCAGGGGGAGAGATCCAGTAGCAAAAGGGCTACGAGAGTTCCGAACGGTACATCCGAGACGCACTTTGGAACGGCGCTACAATGCTTAGAAACTCAACCACTATCACAGTACTCTGCAGCGTTATAATAATTACGTAGAAACGGAATCGTGTGCGTGCTTGCGTAAATATGAGTGTATCGCGTTCAAATGAGGGAGAAAGAGAGAGAGTGAGTGAATAAGAGAGCGAAAGAGACGAGAGAGAATTAAAAAAAGAGTAAAATTTATGTTGTGATATGCAGGTAGCGAATATATATATATGTATATACAGGGTGTTTCTAGCTAATCGCGCTCGCGCTTTCTGTCGATGGTAGAGAGACACTGCGTTGATAGTTAAAGAGAATTTTTGCGCGAGAAAATTTGACCGTTTTCGGGCGCGAGAAGAGGATAAGTCACTTTACGGTAAATTTTATTCGACGTAATAAAGATGATAAATGTGTGAAGACTGATACGGATATCCGTTGGATTTACGATATTTTCTTAGACTCATTCCGTATTAACTCTTTACGCGGTGTTTATCGTCAAACAGAAAGTGCGGTTGGCCAGAGATTCTCTGCGTATACAGGATGTTGAAAGAAGAGAATGCAAAATATTGAATATCCTTTGGAAAATTCTGTTATTGTATCTTTTTTTAGTCATTGTCTTTCATGTTTTAAAAATCTTGGTTATAAAGACTCACACGCACACAATTTGAATTTACTTGAATTAAAGGGTGCATGTAAACTGCATTTAAAATTGTATATTTTATACACGTATATATATATAAAAATAATAAAATTGCAAAATATAATATATAATACTTTAATTTTCGTAAATAAATTCGTATATAAATTTGGGATAAACTTGTGAGAATCACCAAATTCATTTTTCGATAAAAATACGCAATTGTAGTAATCTCAAATGGATTTTTATCATAATTTTGTTATCCAATCTTATCTTTCTTATCAATCTATATACATTCTCCGAGAAAGCTTTACTTGGCATTCAAAATTCGTTCGCCAAATATAAATCACGTTGGCGTCACGATATTAAGGAAATCGCTTTTAAATCGAGCGAAGAACGTACGTTGGCGTATTTTTGCATCCTCCTCTCTTGACAGCCCGTATATACGTATTATTATCGAAGTCGCGTGTGCACTTTAGTGTGCGCGTGCTTCGACGTGCACGCGCGACGTTATGAGACACGTTGACGCACGTTAAGCTCTCATACGAATAGACGACTTTATTATCATGAATTTAAAGAGGAAGTAATATTATATGACGCCACTTTGAGAGTTTAGTATTCCGGAATATAAAAGATTATTGGAGAAGAAAGAGAGGAAGAGTGAAAGAGAGAGAGAGAGAGAGAATGAGAAAGAGAGAGAAAGAGAGAGAGAGAGAGAGAGAGAGAAGACATTGGATCTCTATAATAAGTAGTTATGATTAAATGAAAACTCAAATATATTTCCTGTTATATATAATCCCCCCCACCCATCGATCCTCTCTCTATTATTCCATCTTCTCTTGTCTCCCCTCCCCCCTCCCCGCTCCTCTCATCCCCTTCGTGTTACCCGTCCATGCGAATCTGTCGGGCCTAGAACGTCGCTCTCGTTAGACCCAGAAAAATAATTCCACGCTATGAATTTACGTGCCCATTTCGAATATCGATCGTAGTTAGATCCAATCAAACATCAAACCGTTACGACGAATACGTTGTAGGCGATTCTCTACATATTAATACACACACACATATACATACATACACGTACGCGCAAAAGCGCGAGTAACTCTAACACACTATCTAACATACTCTCTTTAACATACTACCAGTAATCGTACTGTAATTCTTACGAAATGCATAACCCTGTGTATATATATATAATGCAATGTTCTTACTGTAGTTAAATTCGCGAGAAGAGAAGAAGGGGAAGAAGCCAGAAATTTGTGCGATCAACACAGCGCGAGCTATGTTTAATTTATTTCTTATATACACGTACATACACACACGTACACATTATATATATACACGTATATATATATATATATATATATTCGCGAAGTGAAACGCGAAGCGACCATGTTTGTATATTTGGAAATCGTTATTAGTACCTGCCTGACTCATAAACCTGTGCCATACCGCAATTCTTTTATCCCCCTCCTCTCATACTTTTTTCCTTCTCCTCCCTCCAGCCCTTTCTACTACATACTTCTTCCCTGCTGCGATCGCTGCGGCTTTTAACGCGCAAAGTATTTTTGCTTGTATTTTTTCGCGAAAAACGTTCAGCGATTAAAATTCAGCGATGGCATTTATGTAAACGATAGAGAGAATGCTCTGTCAATCGGAACACATATCAATACTGAGATCGAATTGCGTCGACAGCGAGTCTGAATGAAAATATAACTAATCCCAGCTTGCCCTTCGGGTGCTGTTCCTTTCTCTACGGATTAAAGTCCTATCCATAATTTGGACGTGGAAGGAAAATTTAATCGAGACCAGGATTAGTGTTTATGTCGATGTCGCCGCAATTGAGCTTAACGTTGTTGATAAATTGTCACTGATGCAAAATCAATCAAGCCGAATGAATCGACCACTGCAGAAAGGGCGTGAGTCGATCTTTTAAACGAGCCGGTAAAATTTTCGTCAAATTTGTGCGACTGCGACAAAGAAAAATTGAAATTTTTTTCCCCGTACCACTACTGTATCAAATTTAAAAATATGCAATGATCATAAATAATCGCAAACGCGAGAGAACAATAGCATCTTTTTACTTTTGAAGAACTTTTTTGTTTTAAGACATAAACCTTTTTTGCAACGATTGATTCTTTTTTATAGCTGTTAAACTGTATATGTGAATTGTCAGTGATGTTGTTTTTTGTTTTCGATAAGATATTAATCATCCAAATGAAAAGATAAAGTAACGACAACGATATTGTAGACGGAATAGCTGCGAAAATGCTTTTGCCTTTCCGAATTTGAGCACGTATATATTTTACAATTCCAAAAATTATACCAGAAGCAATAATGGCCAAATCTCTCTACAAATATTTGCCTCATATTCTCTTTAAGACGGTAGTAGTCTGACCATGCATTTTGAAAAATGGCTATAATTATCTTAAAGGCATAGAAATCATTAAATTTAATCAATTAAATTTAATAAGAAACATATTGAAATAAAAGAGAAAAAAATAATTTTCTCGTATTATAATTTATTCTGATAGATTGGATAATTAGATTATATTTCCATAAGAACCCTCCTCGGAGGAGGGGCCTTCTTAATTTGGCCACTAGTGTCATACAATGCGAGCGTTTCTTCGCGTCCTATTTCGAAGCGAATGAAAATATCAAAGTACACGCGTACTGCGGCAGAGGATAATGTTATTCCTATCTATTCCTATCGAAGTGATTCTGTACGGTGAAAGTCTAACGACGAGAACATTGTATATACTGTAGGTTTATGGGAATGGCTCGCACGATGCACTCATTACAATTTATTCATTGTTCTTTACTTTGCCTTCTAGCGGTGTCATCGGTTTTCTGTTTTTCTTTTTTTTTTCTTTTTTTTTTAGAAAGTATCCGCATATATAGAGCGTTACCTTAAGCCTTAAGCGAATACCTTTAAAAAAACGTCATTACTTTTTTTTTTTTTGCTCCTGTCCCCACGATTCATATTTTTTATTGTAAGATTGTAAGTTGTAGATTATCTATAAAATGCTGTTTATATAGGGAAACAAATTGTTTAGTTCGTAAGATTTTAAGATTCGCAAAAGAGAGAGAGAGTGAAAGAAAGAAAGAGTGAGAGCGAAAGAAGAGAGAGCAAAAGCTGCACGTTACATCCGGTATGTTGTGAGTTTGTGGGAGGGATGAGCGGAAAATATGAAGAAGACTCTATTAGTCCTATCGTGAATGTACTATTAAAAAAAAAAAAAGATGTAATGAAGAGTTAAAAAGTATTCTTAAAGATCAGTTGCATTGTATTCATTTCACGTGCAATTAAGACGCGTCCGAGATTATAAAATAGGCTAACATTTGTGTCGAATTCATACACAAAATGAAAATGAATGTCTCTCTGTAAGGAGATCGAAAGAGAAGAAGGGAAAAGCAAGATCATTTTTCTCCCCCAAAGTTTGGACTTTCCAATTTCGCATTTACTATCCATTTTACCGTGAACTTAATTTTGAATTATTGTTACAAACATAAAGGCTCTGTAATAAATTTATCTTGTAACTCTTTTCATTGCGATGTCACTTTCACATGTTGGACGTAAAGAGAAGAGGATTGCAATTATAGTTTCTGAAAAGACCGCCATTAACCACAAAATTATAAAAGAAACTTTCTTTTTAAATATAATCAAAATTAAGATTATTTCCTTGAGAGTCCGGAAAAAGATGTGAGAAACAGGCGTAATGATGAAGATTGACGATATTTCTCGTGTAAGGGCGTTAAAGTATAAAAGTGAATTAAAGCATATATACATCACGTGGTCGTTGATTTGAAAAACACACATATATATATATATATATATATACGTATTGTTAGCCACGTATTAATTACTAATACGTTTCGTAGAGAGATATACCTTACAAATATATATATATATGATCTCAAATAGCCAATAATTATGTTATACTTTTGCAGTTAACGATTTAAAAGGAGACGATCAATCGAGTCGCCGCGCCGTGATAAACGCGTTAAATATGGAGATCATTTCACAAATATACGCTCTGCTGGCGTATAAAATATACAGTCAAGTCTCTCTCCGTTGTTCAAACGAGAGACATATAGAAAGTCTACAAATATATATATATATAAAAGAAGTATTCTTAATATCGCGCGCATAATCTGCAAAAAGAATTATACTTCTATGTACGTCATATCAAAATTTTAGCCTATAAGAATTCATCAAGCACGGACTTACGAACAGAAATCTCCTCTATTCTCTGATTACGTTTTCTCCTCACTAAACAAATCTCATTGTTGTAAAAGCGAGAATATCGCAGATCAACAATGATATCGGAGCAATTTTTTTTTTTACAGATCTCAGTCGCATTTCAGGATTATTCATTAAATTGGCAAGTTACCTATATAACCATTAATATTTCTATATAAAATCAGGAAATTGCACATTCACCGAAAATAAAAGTAAATCTTGAATTAAATATATGAATATTTCGGCGATTCTCCGAAATTTCATTTACATGAGCAGTAAAGATACCTATGCATGAAAAAAAATCAATTTCTTTCATCGATTCAAATTATTTTCAAGAAGACGGCCGCAATTTCTTATAGATAATTTATATAAAATTATAAATGCGAATCTCGATATTCATATAATTCAATTATCGCTCGCAAATGTTCTTTATCGTGTCTCGCGCGAGATACAAGATTATTGGATCAATTTGATACCTTTCGTAAGATTACCCATCGGTATCGACGAAGAGAAAGACAGGATTTATTTTGGTATATAAGGACTTGAGAAATATCAAATTTCGCTTGCAAACAAGCAGATTATATCAAATATGAAGCATAAGAACGCAGCATAATGCTATATTACAAATAATACGCAGAACATTTGGTAATAGATGTATTTGATGAAAATAGAATATTTCTTGTGAAAACCAGGTGTGATATTCTCCCTTTAAATATATATCAGTACGCGATAATTTTAAAACTATCCATCTAAAATTAACTGAATAAAATTTGTTCGTTTGCATTGTATGATATCCCTTCTTTTTTAATTGCCAATTATTCAGATATTATATATATATATACACACACATTAGTTTTATTAATGAATGACCGTTTCAGTTTTCAACAAGAAATATCTCTTACCACGAACATCTATTTGTCGAAAACGTCCTGAGTATTTAAATATTTCGCTACTCGTTGGCTATAATAAAGACGCATAAGCCACATCATATTCGTGATATATCAACGAGCAGAAAATTGCAGCTTATACGCGGTTCATGTAATATCGTGTAACGATTATACCGTTATATAACGAAAACCGTTTACTAATCCACATTTATATATATATGAAGCTCTACGCGATAAAAATCTCACACAATTACTATTTTGAATACTACCTTTCGCCTATAAAAACGGATCCGCTTTATTTTTTCTTCTTACTGGTAGTTTGTATACCTTATGATTAAGAAACGCGAGGTACAAAGGAACCAGAGTGACGTTTGATTTGAAAGAGAGAAAGAAAAAGAAAAGAAAAAATAATAAGAGATTTATATACTGCGACACGCGCCGCGTCAGGAATGTAATCGACATTCTTTGTGTAATTGTAATGTAAACGTAAAACACCAGCCAGAATTCACGCAACATGTCCCTATTCAATGTTCACATATGAAGATTGAAAAAAAAATGTATAAAGCTATGTAGTATTATAAAGAAACGAGTATGTATGATTTATATTCCTGTATTTTTCATGGACATTGAAATATTCACCTGACATAGTCATGCCTTCTTTTTATTCTCGCAAGATGATCTTACAAGATTGAGAAATTAATTACGTTTAATATGTAACATGCAGATATTTTTTGCAGACGATAATTATTTGTGATAATATGCGACAACACGGAATATATCAAATAAAATGAATCTTACTCGCAATCGACGAAACTGGAGGACAAGATAAAAACGTAATATTCTAGTCGTGAAAAATTTCTAAAAAATCTAATTTTATATCGAACAATTTTAATGA